ACACACACACACACACACACACACACACACACACACACACACACACAGGGGTTGTTCAGAGTGTTCATCAGAAGATAAGCAGAGGAGACTTAATCACCCTCAGATGTTAGGGGGGCACTTCAACTTGTCCTGATATCCACACAGCACCTAACCCTACTGCATGTGTGTGTGTGTGTGTGTGTGTGTGTGTGTGTGTGTGTGTGTGTGTGTGTGTGTGTGTGTATGTGTGTGTGCATGTGTGTGTGTGTCACAGAAGGAAGTGTGCATTTCAAGATTGAGCCGAACGGTCCGACAGTCCGTTTGCATTCCGAAGAAAAGCCTCGTTTTGTGGTGATTTATTATTATTATGATGGGTTTTTTTTGTATTTTCTTTATCCCACATCAATTTTAGTCAGAATTTCACTATTCACAATGTACACGGCACTGTTGTCAAGCAATTGTCATTACTAAAACAGGTCTGAGTGGCAATTTTCCCAAGTGGCTGAGGTGCTGAACCATTAGAATTATTCAATGACTGTAGTCTGTGGCCTTGAGGTTCAATCAATTCTCTCTGCAGCTTTTTCAAACAAAGTTATGGCTCTTTTTAAATTTAAGACAATGGCAGCATCCACTTTCATCCCTCTGAGGCTACTTCTTCCTTTCTCTTTTACTTGATTCCTCTTGCATCCTTTCTTGCGTCTCCCTGACCTTTGTGTTTTTGTTCTTTTCTAAATCGACTTCAGCTCATCTCCTTCCACTGCACCTGAGACCAAAACCACTGATTATAAGAGCTAGTATCTGAAGCCGTGCCTCTTGTGTTGAGCGTATTCTGCTCGTGTTCGCTAATTTATGAATCTTAAGAGAATCCTAGGAGACATTTTTAACTCTCTCCTGACAGATCAAGTGTTTCCGTAGTAGGAGATTAGTAGAAGATTTAACTTCCAGGTGTTGAGTTTTACTCCAAATAAACCGAGTTCCAAAAACTGCAGTTCCTCAAATGACCACTAGAGGCCGCCTCCAACAGTCAATCAGCCCTAACAGACCCCCATGTTTAAATAACCGACTTCACAGCTGAAATAAACATGTTTCCAGCCTGCTTTAAAAAACTGTTTCAGTCTGTATAGCTAATTTTCACATTCATGACAACTACATGAAGAGTGAGTTTTAACATAAGTCACCCATTTAAATTGTATTAGGGCTTAAAATTATGTATAACTGGGTGACAGATGGGTGCTGGACTGGACAGCCAATGCCCTGTGGTCCGTTATTAACTCACTAAATCTAAAAATCGAACGCAGCAACTAAATATTTCTAAACCACCTATGTACAAAACACAACAGAGTTTATGGGATTTGAGTTCTGCATCATACAAAGTTTTAGTCTTGTTAAGGGTGCACACGTTTGGATGTTGTCATACCATTTAAAAAGCGTTATTATCACACATGATTCCCATATGTATGGACAAGTACAGGCCTCTTACACCTTCTAGTAGGCCCCATTTAATTCTGGTGTCGTTGCTGATTCTTTGCACTTTGCACAGACTTTAGGCCCGAAGGCTTGAGTCCCATCTCAAACCATCATTACGGCAATATTTTATGATTTAAGTCTTGTTTTCTTTTTATTTTCCCCTGTTGTTTTGTAATTGGAGTTTACTTGCATTTTCAAGAAACCTTTGGTTAAGTTTAGGCACCAAAGCTACCACTAGGTTTCGAAAAGAATTTGGATTACAGTGCACTCTGACAATTTGTTGCTACGTTTATTACATATTGTAAAGCTCTATTTTGTATATGTCGTATATGTCCAGGTTGACACCTCCTACCTATGTTACTTTCAGTTTATCCATGATCAGAATGGGTGATAAGGCACCTTAAAGTTCCTACTTGCCTAAATGTTAGGGAACAACAGCAATAAAAGCACCTATTTGATAGGCCAATGATGCCCAGATTAGGCGTAGAGTTAAAGGATAGTTTTGGATAAATACGGGACAAAAACCTTCCTGATCTTCCCCAGTGTTTTCACATACACTAAACATGTCAATATAAGTATTGTGATTTACTTCTAGTCTAGGTATAATGTACATCAAGGAAAACAACAATGTATAGGAAGTTTTCTTGTTCTTTTCTATATGTATAAAAACCTAAGAGGTTCTAATTAGTTGTGTGGCGACATTATTTTCAAAGGGCACATTTTTGACAAGCTGGTAACGCACACAAGGTCGACATTTTAATTGGCTGGAGCGATATGATCAGAAGGGCGTACTTGTGCGTGTTTAATAGAGACTCAACTTCCTTCAATGTGGATTGCGACACTCTTACATAAGCCTGGCCTGTCTTGAGTCAGTCCCCCTTCTGCAAATGAGTAGCGCATCCTAAGTGGGTTTGAAAGTCACTTATATAAAGAATGTGAGCGCGATTGTGAATGTTAAAACTGGTGAAGGACAAACAGTAAAGAGAGAGAGAAAGAAAGAGGGGGGAAAGGAGCAAGATTTTTTTTCCTTGCTGAGGTTCAAGCCACTTTAACAGGCACTTTAATGGCCAGTCTGTCCAATTCTCCCACCAGTGTAGGTGAACGCGTGCGCACCAATTTAGCACCACTCCTCGCTGTCCTGTTCTTCTGTAGCCGTGTGTGTAATGGAGTTAACAGCTGGACACCACTTCTTTTAACACAGCCTACTCATATGCTTTTCTGTTGCTCCTTTTTTTTTTTCTCCCCCTTTTTTCATTCTATTTTCCTCTCCTTCTCTCTTTCACTCTCGCAGTGCCGAGCAGCTTGGTTTTGGGCCGACGCGTCTCGACAAACTTCAAACTATCTGCAAGTCTTTATTAAAGCTGAGTGCACAAAGTGGACGGTTGCTGGTTTCTTCATGGAGGATTTTTGAAATTACCTTTTTTTTTTTGTATTCATGGCCAATATTTAAACATGCACTGAGCAGGTATGAAAGGTGGAGCCACTCCAGTAGTGGTCCCAACTGGAAGACCTGCCTAATATTGTTATTGGGCGAAAAGAAAAATCACAGTTTTCCAACTCATAGTGGTACCATTAGCAATCACGTGTATTTGTCACATATATATATTTTTACTTATTTTTAATTTCTTTATCATTATAACCTTGTTAGCAAAGAGTTAGTCACGTAGAAACACTGTGTTGGGAAAGCTGGTATCAGTAATACCTGGTGCACTGATCAATGAGTCCACACAGTTTCAGGACTCTAGCGATGTTAATTATCACGTTATAGCATTTCAAACATTTCTCCACAGATTGGCGTGTAGAAATTGACACGATTTTTAACCCAAAAACTAATGTAACCTATGATCCTAGATTTTTACACATGATCTACTCAATCAATATTCACCACGTTTTAAAAAAAATCTGTCAAATTAAAGATAATCAGGCGTGGGGCATTTGGTGAATTGAGGCTGAATGAACCTTTACAGCAGACAGACTTGAAAAAGATCTGAATCAATCCAGTAGAAATGTTATTATGCCGCTGCCTTGATTGAAACATAAAGGAAGTCATCATAGAAACTCGTGCTATGTGTCCACTGGATCCGGCAAAATCCCGCTTCCTATTCATTGTGTATGTGAAACGTCCCACGTCCTGTTCTGGAGCGTTGCGGAGCGTTTCTAGTGATGAGGTGTAGTGTCGCCCGCGTGCCTATTTGCATAAAGTAGACTTGACTTTTACTTTATGCAAGTGAGGCACGGGGAGCAGAGGTCCGACGCCTCGCGAAACTTTCGTAAAACAGCTAAACTAGCTGCTGTTGAACTAAAATGAGGACAGATTCAGCAACTGCATAGCCTATTTCTCGCCTCAAATGTTCTCAGAAATACTTTTCACAGGGCGGCTGCTGCTCAGGTGGTAGAGCAGGTTGTCCTCCAATCATAAGGTTGGCGGTTCGATCCCCACCCCTCCACAGTCAAAGTGTCCTCGGGCAAGACACTGAACCCGAAGTTGCTCCCAATGGCAGGCAGCACCTTGCACGGCAGCTCTGTCGCCATTGGTGTATGAACGGGGTAATGAGAAACACATTGTAAAGCGCTATATAAGTGACCATTTACATTTCGCTGAACGGTTTTTGCAGTAAAAGCACAAGTTTGCAGATGAGCCTCCATGTTGGTTCACCGCTTCTACAGAGCTGGTGTCTGGTGAATGGGAGAGCGGCTGTCATGTGACCACCTAGTGGCCCGCTAGTGCACGACCAGCAAGCGGGCGATATTCAGAAGCGATGCCATCCCACGCGGCCCCAGTTGACACATAGCATCAAGTTATGTCAATGCAAAAGGCATTTCTGTCGCATTTTCCTCAATCAAACTGTCTATTAAAGATATATCTGCACGTAAAAATGGTCAAAAGTGTAGTTTTAGTCTATTTCCATCGTTTTTCTCTCATAAATACTATCGCTGTTAACGCTGTTCTATTTTATTTATTTATAGTCACACTTTCAACTCTCTGACGGGGAACATAAGCTAGAAGAAGGTGACACTCTAAAGTCACGGTGAGAAAACAGCTTACATAACAAATTCTATGAGCACTTTGTCCGCATGTACGAGTCATCCCTCTTTCCAAAACGCTGCCCGATTCAAGTGTCTTTTATTTTTTATTTCTGTGCCGTGGAGTCAAGCTGGACGAGTGTCTTTCTCTTCTTAAACACACTTCTTACCTTTAAGTGAACATCCCAGACCTGAGCGTCGTACTGCTGGTGTTGGGAGACGGAGAGTCCGGCCTGCTGGGCCAGTTGACAAAACAGTCTCAGGGTTTCACCTCGCAGCGGAGCGAACACCAACGCCATGCCCTGGGTAGAACACAAGAGGAGGAGGAGGAGGAGGAGTGTAGAGTACATTTCTAGGGTACTTCACGCATATTTTCACACCTCATTTCTCATAACATTTCTTGTTTAGCTTTCAAAGCGTTAGTTGCTAGAATGTCTTTTTTTTTCAGGTTTATATTAGACGATAAAATAAAAACAGAAAGTTAAAGCTCTACAAATCCAATCAACCCTGGAAACACGAACACACGCGTGTAGGTGTGAATTTTGTCTACTTGAGTTTTGGACGTGTTTGTGTGTCCATGTGGGTGTGAGAAAGACGGACGGAAAAGAAAGAGCGTGTATGTGTGCACACGCATCACAGACATCCGGCAAATACTAAGAGGATTACCAACAGGTTCAAAGTTTCTTTGAAATCCTTCAGCTTTCAGTTTTATTTCATGTTGATCGTGTTATTATTGTTTTAATTAAATGGAGCAAAGAGGGATGCTCACACAATCGCACACAATGAAACGCACAATGACACAACACAAGCTGAAAGAACATAAAGGCGGCGAAAACAGCAGGATCACTGCGTTTGACAGATGTATTTTCATCTGTATATCCAGTTGCATTTTTTTTTTTTTTTTTGCCAAACCCCACTCTGTCAAAAAAAACACAGCAAAAGCAAACAAACAGACCAAATTCCTCCAGCACTAATCAGCTGATTAAGGGGATCCAGCCCACCGGATGGACCACCTTTGTCAGAAACAACAAATTAGTGCCATTAGATGGGAGAATTAATTGCTTTGTTAATTGTTTAATCAGCTTAGCAAATTATTAAATATTTGGCAAAGCTTGTTGTGGCAGCGACAGTCTGATGGCCGACACTCAAATCATATTAGCCCCTGAATTATCTCCGCTGGATTAAAGAGGGAGACACATGAAGGGAGACTTAACACACAGATGTACAACCACGGCCAGATGTCACGTCTGTCGTCTGACAGCGTTCGACCACAGCAGCAGCAACCGAGACACGCGTTCAGGAACAAGCAAGAACCTATAATATTAATATTAGAATCTTTCCAGATACGTCTGTTGTTTGCAGCTCAGGTAATACAGACTTTAAAGCTAACTACATAAAAACATCACTTACCTCAATCTGGTTCTATGTGTGCTCAGTTTTGGAGATTTCTGCCCAAACTCCAATAAAGTGGAAGTGAATGCAATCTTATTTGAGTTGCTGACAGCATTTCAAATCAGTGACATTTAAAAAATCACAACAGCGAACACATTTGTGCTGGATTATGTGTAGACACTGTGGTCAGCAGTTTCCAGAGGGACTGTTTCTACTGTAAAAAGCAGCTCTGTTGAAAACAGGGTCTGTGGGTTATTTAGAGAAACGAGGACAATGTTTCTCCTGAATTTTGATCATTTTTGGGGGTTTTTTGGTGATAATTTTGAATAACTAGTGTTGAAATGAACGCCAAATAATCCTCATGAAATATGTCAAAGAAGATTAATTAAACACTGAACACAAGGAGCTAGATCTTCCACCACTTCCCTGTTTTTTTTCTCCTTTTCGCTCTAACCTCTCCTCCTTCGTCTCCTTCCCTTCGGTGCCGCTTTCACCCCTTTTTTCATAAACAGATACTCCCTCCACCAGTCTGGCCTCTGTACTTAAAACGCACCCCGTCTTCCCTCAGATGAATAGAAATCTCAACCCTATCTCTTCCAGCCTTTTGCTTTTTTCCCCCCATTTGCTTTGGCTGTCACAGCGTGGGGTCTTATCGCGAGGCCAAAAGGGAGAAGTTGCCTGGGATTTATGATTAAGGGAAGGGGACGAGAAGAGAGAGGCGGAGATCAGAGCGATGCATTCAAGTTGCTTATAATAAGCATTAAAGCATTACATGATATTAATCCTGTCAGACTGTTAATGTGTATGGGGGTTTTGGGCAAAGCCTAATTATGATTGAGGAGAGTGGGAGGTGATTTAGAGGGAGGGGATAAGCGCAGAGATACATACAGTAGACACACAGAGGCAAACACTTACGTTGGCTTTCAGCAATCTCCTTATAGCATCAACCAGGCTGGCTCTGTACTGGTCGAGAAACAAACTGAGAGGGAGAGGAGAGAATCGGGTTAGAATGCATTCCTACGATAGCGGCGCCAGATAAAGCAGCAGGCTATTTATTTTCTTTTGTTTACAAATAAATCCACCAACAGGAAGAGGAGAAAAACAATTTGCATGAGTAAGATGCTCTTCCTCTCCGAGTTTCCGCAGGTATTCACCTCAGCCTGCCGCCGAGGCTCCGACAGGAATGCAGAACATCGGAAAATCCAAAGTGCACAGATAGCATCGGCTACAGTAAACACACACACACACACACACACACACACAGGTGTACGCGCAGACACGCACACTTTCACTAAAACACTTCAAAGCGTTACCAAAGCACCTTGAATTGTTGGAATTAATACCTAGAGTGCACTCTGAAGTTAATATGAAGATATAAGAATAAAAACAACATACAGAGGGAAAAAAAATCAAACAATGAATATTAACAAAACCAAATTAACTGAACCCATCTGTACATGAAACACAAACGCAGTGTAACTTGCGTGTTTGTGGAAGGGAGACAACGTACATATTGTTTTGTATGTAGGAAGTAGAGCATCTTTGTCTCACACGTAACATGATCAGCAGCATATTTAAATAGTTCAGGCTACCTCTCTGCTTATGTATGACCATCAGCAGGTCCCGACTTAGTCATAAGTGTTCTTGTTCGGCTAACACGTGCTTGTTTTTGAGTGTTTGCATGCAGATTTTAGTGTAGTAATGAAGAAAAGATGACTAGATGGTGTTAAAACAAGACCTTTTTGGATCAACTAGTGATTTATCCACTGGCTAAATGACTCTACACTGCTGCAGGCCAGATGTGATTCTATAACATTCATGTATGTTTGAGTGCAAACTTGACCAACTGAGCTGGAGGAAGCAGGACAAACGAAGACACAACACAAAACCTGACTAAGACAAAATATTATTAGTTGACGTAAGTGCAACCCAACCTGCTGTTCTCTTTAATAAAATGGTTAGAATGGACCATAAATAAATCACCGTGAGAGAAAATTGACACCTGGATGTATGAAGGAACTTCTGCAGGAACCTGGTCATGAAGAGGCAAATTTAGCTCCATCAGTCACAGTTACTCTTTTGTTGTACATCAGTATCAAATGAATGAATGACACTGAGACTCTCTGGTTGGAAAATCATCAATCAACCTCGTTAACACGTCCACGTGGTGTTTCTTATGTGTTAGAGAACACATCATGGGTGAAATAAGCAGTTGGTGCTACTGCTGAGTATTTTCACTGTAAAACTGCAGCACTCTGATGACAATCTCACAAACACGGATTCAGATTTTTGGAGTTTCATACGTAGTAAACCCAAAGAATCGATCCTGTCAGCTTTCAGGATGGAGCTTCCTGTGCTATTCTTCTTCCTCAGAATCGCTTTCTAGTTTGAACATGTCTATTGTGTCGTGTGGCGTTAGTAGTTTTACAGTGTTTGAGTCTTAGATGACTAAACCATTGTAAAGCAGGAAGGGATTATTGTCTTTATTAAACAGAGATGAGGTTTTAGGAGTTAAATCAATTCGTTTGTTCCCCTTATATTTATTCAAGAGCAAAGTCTATGAATTTGAGAGCATAATTGTTGCATTCAGGTTTTCTAATGCTTTCCTTTAAACTCCTCTTTGCCTGCCAGATACACTACTGGTCGAACAAATGTCCTGTTTCAGAGCATCTCCTCACCCTTAGACTGCTTCTGTTGCAAAACTTCTGCTCTCAAACTTGCACCGTTACTCTTGGATGCTTGAAACATCTCCGTCAAAAGCTCCCAACCAATAGAACACCAGCTCTGACAACGACCAATGAAATCACTGCTCCTAACTGGTTTTTACACTCTCCAGGGCTTCTATGTAATTCTTGTAGGACTTTTAATATTAATAACAATATAATATGACTGTTTGGGGAGTTTTAACAGCGACGATTCACCAAGAAATCCGAGAGCAGAAGTTTTGTGAGCGCATAGAAACAGTCTGAACAGGAGGCGACACACTCAAACTGAACCGCAGGACATTCGTGCTGCAACAATTTTCCTCAGGTGTTAATGAACAGTTCGGAGCAGGAGACGAGCAGATTTGCACCCGAGCAGGTGTCGACCGGTGTTTCAGAAAGAGCATTAAACAATCTGGGCATTACGTGAAGAAATAGTGCCCTCCGACTGAAGACATCCTGGAAAGTAACTCCATCAGCTTTAAATTATTATAATCTTCACACGCTGCAGATTGCTCCCCTTGTGCATATTCAGAAATGTCATGGTTGTTTTTTTTTCTAAATAAAGCAGAGTTCCAAGCAGAAATAAGAAGGAGAGTCGAGGCAAAGACGTGTGTTTTTAGTGGTCGCGCGTTTCTTTTCTTCAAAAAACTAAATTCTGGTGCAGGATAAAAGACAGAAGCAGGATTCTTTCAGGGAAAACAAGAACCTTTCTGAGAGCTTCAGTGGCCACAAAGAGGACTGTTGGGTTTTAATACAGGTTTAAAGTTCCAGTTTGTGTGCATATTGTTAATTAACGCCCTGGTATGAATGCAAAAAGATCCCTCAAAGCTACAAGGTTGTATTTCCACCACTCTGGAGGACAACAGGTTCATTTTCTGAAGATGTACATTATCCTGGAACCACGTCTCTAAATGACATAATAATCATTTACGTAATGAGGGTTTGCTTATTGCTCCCAAAAGGGAAGCGAGTACCCACAAAGTGACTGTGTAAACAGATTAATGTCCCCGCAACATTAGTACTACACACACACACACACACACACACACACACACACACAC